AGAGGTAAAGGCTACCATATGACTTTGATGGGGTTACCGACGCTAGCTCAGTCATAAAGATCTAAGGGATCTAATGTGTGTCACCAAAAAGGGTTTTGAAGATTTAGTTTTGCATATGATATAGTATTGTTGATTTCATATTTTTGAAAATAAAATGAGATATTAAATACGAACACATAGTATGCAAAGTAACATATTTTAGATTCTTTAGAACCTTAGCACAATCATACTTATGTTGATCCCAATGTAATAACTCACATTACTCGCTGAGATTTACCCGGTAGGCAATGATCGTTAACACATCACAATCAACACAGGGTTACTCATCTAATGAGTCTAATTTACCATCAATCCACACAAGGTGATGTTTGAGCAACCTTGAAACATAAACTAATCAGATGTGCACACATTGTGCAATCAATGAGTTCAGTGGCATTCAAGTGTGACCCAAATTGAGCACACAATGTGAATGGCTTATAGAATTGAAGTGTAATGCCATAAGAGATGAGACAGTGTGCTATCCATTTAGGAGATTCACACACCAACGGAATAGCATTGCTAGCTCCCACTCATCCAAAAATTTGTATGTATTCAACTACACACATATGACATCATATGTATGTGGTAATACCACAAGTGTTGATGCTCAAAGAGACACCACATGCAAGCATATGTCAAAGACAAATTCAATTGTTCATACAATGATTTTACTGCTCCAATAATCATTCCAAATATTTTATTTTCATGCACATACAAGCACAATCTTAAGAAATTAGCATGAACATGCAAGAAATGCAAAGGCAAGTGCAAGCAACACAATATGCAATTAATTGGTTGATCGGGTGTTAGTGGACGAACAAACCAAATTGATTGGTTAATCAAACCTTGGCGTCTGATTGAAATTAATTGATTGTTATTGAGATCAGTCCTTGGTTCTCGATCAAACCAAATTGTTTGGTTTTATGATCGAGCCTTGGTGGCCGATGGAATTAAAGCGTGGTTTTGTGATCAGTCTTGGTGGCAGATTGAATCAAAGTGTAGTTTTGGGATCGACCTTGGTGGTAGATCAAACTTAAGTATGGTTTTGGGATTGGCCTTGATGGCTAATCAAAATGAAGTGTGGTTTTGTGATTAGCTTTGGTGGTCGATCGAACAAAAGTGGGTGGTTGATTGGATAATCATGGCCGATTGAACCAAAATGTTGTTTTTTGAATGGCCTAAGTGGTTAGTCAAACCAAATTGGGTGGTTGATCGGACCTTCATGGTTGATCAAACTACATGTTTTCGTTCGTTTTTCTCTCTTTTATTTTAGAAGGAGTCGTCAGCTTGTCGATCGTCGATCGTCGTATACTTCCCTCATTTGAGTAAACCTCCCTCCCGAATCATATATGCGATTCAAAAAGAAGAGGAATCGAATAAAAGGGGACATACGACAAAACGACAAACAAGAGAAAACAGAAAACGTGGAGGAAAACGTGGAGAGCCTACGTGCTGGAGAGCCTACGTGCAGTAAACCTCGCAAGGATATGTTAAGAGTGTCCGTCTAAACAAGATTGGGCGAAAGCACCTTAAACCGATAT